AAACTTCTTCAAAAGTTATCTCTGAAAAAAAAGAGAGTAAGAGAACAGTCTGTTTTCTTTAAAAAAAGCAAAGATTCTACAAAAGCATTTTCAATTGTACAGTGAAAAGTTTATCCTTTGTCTACCCAGAAGTAAGCAGAGCATTTGCCCATGAAATTATTACCACGAAAAGCAAGATGAAAGGACTAACAGCTAACAAACGATGAACTATTTCCTAAAATCCTCTTTTTTCCCCCTAATGCAGTCCTCCAAACTTTAGATAGTTTCCAAATGACAGTCTCCACTGCCTGTGAGACTAAAGGCGCTTGCAAATTTACATATGAAATTAAGTTTAAATTACAGAGCAAAACAGGGTGAACTAAGGTCACATCACCAGCCTCAGCTCTGAACTCTAATGCACATTAAGATATTGTCCAACCTGAAACACAGAGGAACAAAAAGTCAAGTTACATCAAATGCAAATTAAAAATACAAGAAGTTTCTGACTTCAGTTATGTCTGAAATTGCCTTACTAGTAACCCAAATTTTTGTAGCTGCCTGCTTCAAATGTATAAACTTATCTTTTTCTTTACCTTGTATAGTAATGATTCAAATACATCCAGGTCCTAGTAGCAAAGCCACCAGTCTCAAATAAAATAGGAAAAGCATGTGCATGTCTTGAAAAGATAAGTACATTATCAGAGCAGAGTGAGGAGCTCCCTGCACTGCAGAAACTTTCCATCACCATGATCCTCACCATGCTACATGTAAATCCATTTCTTCTACACAATAACACCAACTTGAGAAATACAGCAACATAAACTAGAGCAAATCTAATGAAATCCAAAGACAAGGAGAATTTTCTATCAACTTTAGGTACTTGTAATTTAAAGAAAAACAGAAGTTAATGGTATTGAACTGATATTCAAATCTAGTGCATACTACAAAGATGTCAGAGAAAATGTATTTTCTTAATCCTTTATTCTTAGTCCTACTGTCAAGCAATGCCTTGTATGCATTAGACCAAACTAAAGCAGGGAACCTTTTGATTCCAGAACCAGAACAATCCAAAGGGGAAGAAAAGCAGATAATGCAAATTCTTTTCCTGAGATTTTGGAAGAACATCACATTGAAGTTACACTGTTTATTCAAGAACCATAAAACGGTTTGGGTTGAAAGGCACCTGTTAACAACACCTAGTAACCACCCCTCTACAACAGACAAACATATTGCACTAGATCAGGATGCTCAAAGCCCCATCCAACGTGGCCTTGAACACTGCCAGAAATGGGGCATCCACAACTTCTCTGGTTACCCTGTTCCAACGCCTCACCGCCCACCAAAGTAAAGAATTCCTTCCTTACAACCAATTTAAATCTACCCTCTTTCCATTTAAAATTTATGTCCTTTGTCCTGCCACTACATGTCTTTGCAAAAAGTCTCTCTCCATCTTTCTCATAATCCCCCTTCATACACTAAATGAAAGCCTCAATAAGGTCACCCTGGAATCTTCTCCAGGCTGAACCACCTCAACTCTCTCAGCTATAGGAGAGGTGTGCTATCACTCTGATCACTTCTGTAGCCCTCCCAGGATCTACTCTAATAACTGCATGCCTTTCTTGCGCTGGATGCCACAGAGCTGGATGCAGTGCTCCAGGTAAGAGTCACCAGAGAACAGAACAGAATGAGAATCACCTTCTTCTTTTTACAAGTTCAGGATACTACTGGCAAAGAAAGTACTGAAATTTTGGAGAGAAAGAGACACCAACTCTGGCAAAAATTTACATATGACTCTACACCCATTCCCTGAAGTATGAAATGAAATTACTATTTTTCTATTTTCACAGTAGCTTTCATTCATTTTTCTAAGATTCATAGATAAAGGAGTTGAAAAACACTACATTAAATAAAGTGGAATGTTATCAATGTTTGGTTTAGTTAAAACATACGTATTTGATTTTGACTTGTATCATTTACAAGAAGAGGTAAGGCAGCAACAGGAACAGGTTCTCTCTTGTGACATCAGAGGTTCTGTGGGTAAAGAGAAAACTGACAGAGAGAAAACTGACAGAGAGAAAACTGACTGGGACACAGATAATTTCCTAAAGCAGTGAGCTTTCCAGAAGCTGGGATAAGGCAAGGAGTGTTTAAATCTGTGGTTACATTAAAAGCTACAAGTTACAGCACTATAACAAGGCACATCAGGTCAGAGCAATTTTATTATCAAGTCATTTAGTCACATCTGTAACAGGTTGGGACTGCAGCGCTGTAGAAACATGAACAGCCTATCTGCTCTTGTTCTAGTGGTTCTTCTACTGAAAAACCTACAACTCTTACAATAAAACAGTAAGTTACTCATGTAGACAAGCTCAACGTGTCTCTGTAATTTTCCAATAATTATATTTTCTTACTGAAAATTCTCTTTTATCAAGCAAGAGAAACTCAGTGGTCTTCATAACAAACAAAAAAAAGAAGCTGTTTAAGTTTGCATGCTGAATAGATTATAATTTGTAACCAGACCTCTAAATGTTGGTTCCAACACCCACTTCTTACATGGAGATAAGCTTGAAAAATACAGTTAACTAAAATTTTCCTATTAGTGTACTCTTACCTAAAAAACATGCTAGTACCTAAGTATTCTATTTAAAATGAGATCATGCATTCCTAAAGCACATGCAGAACTTCCAAGGCCAAGTTTTCCATACTCTTCTTTCTTCCAGGTCTGTGCAGCAGGAAGACTGCACCAAGCTGCAGGCTGCTATGACTGCCTCTGCACATCCTCCTGATAGCCCATCCAAGTGGGACTTCTGCCCCGTTTTCCTTCTGATGCACAGAAACAGACCCTGTTGGACAGTGCAGGAAGTACAACAGTACAGTTGGTGCCACACTGACCCCTTACTAGGAAATTCCTCACTTCATGCTAATAATACAGATTTTCGATGTTGAGAGTGGTGTAAGTGGAGCATCTTTAAAGCTGTTTCATTCACTAGAATTTTGTGGGGTTTTTGATTAATTTAAAAAAAAAATCAAACTTCAGTGGCAAGAGAGAAGATTCCAGTTATTTCCAATCCATACAACCACTGGCACCTGGGATATGACTCATCATTAAGTTAGGCCCTACTGAAATAATTGTAACTAAACAAAACTAGGCACAATCTAAGAAACACAACAGATGAAAATCAGTACTCCAAAATGTTAGCACACAAGTTGTATGCAGGATAACATTTTTTTAAGCTGAGTATCTGAGAACTTTCTCTAAGGACTCAGTATTGTTTTTATAATGCTACTTCTAAAATCCAAGAGCTTGCACCAAGACTACAAATAAGCTAAATCAAAAAAGAGGCACCCCCAAAGCAGTATCCAAATAAGGGTGTGCATCCATTTATCTTAAATTAATTTAGGTTATTTAATAAAGCAATAAACAAATGCAATTTTCTCATGCTGACGGTTTGAGCAACAGGCCCAAGTTTTAAGGCCAGTTCAAAGCAGCGTATAAAGGAGCAAGGTGGAAGAAGAATCATTTTGCTAAACCACCACCGCTACTTTGTCAGCCAAGGAGTAAAACACATATGCCTAATTTAGGTGCGCAAACTAAGACTGTATTTCTATATGATCCCTGGCTAAGCAATGGAAAGTTTCCTCCAGAGATGCTGTTAACGCAAGGCACTGAACCGGGATTCTATAGTTAGGTGCATGAATTAATCCCGAGATCAAATGTGCTCACCATACCTCCACGGGGCAAGTGTGTCCAGTGTTGAAACTGCACCTCAAACATGTGGTCATGAGGTGGCTGTGAAATGTAACCAATCTTAAGAAGCAAAGCAACTGAGACAGAAAATAAGAAGTTGGACAATAAATACTGAAAACAAGAAGTTACAAAGCAGATGGAGAAGACTTCTCTGGTCAAGTCACCATCAGAAACTCAAAGTGCCGATGCCACACAGACATGTAATCATCAACACACAACATTACAGCAGTTCATTGTGAGTAAAAACTAGGTACCCTGGTACCTGTATAGTATCTTGCTACTTCCCCAAAGAGGAGGTATCTATACAAATACACTCCACACCAATTAAGTACCAATTCACAATATGGTATTACAAACATTATTTAGCCTAATTCAAGCTATGTAGCCACCACATATTTCTGGCTCCCATGGACGATTCTTCCCAGTTCTGCCAAAAGGATTTCCAATAGAAATTTTTTTCTCCCCAAGTAGCATCAGGGCATGTGTCTGTATTAGGGCTGAGGTACATGATTATATATGAACATATATACCAAGGGAAAAGTTGCTAAAGAATCCAGTAAAGAATCAAAACAAAATAAGGTACACCAAGTAATTAAGCTCTGCCCTTTCAGTGTTTAACGCTATGCCAGCTGAAACCAGAACACAAGTATTCAGATAACCTAGGGTAAAATTCTTTTCTCCTCAAAGGCATAGCTAGAGCATTTAAATACAAAGTGGGGGAGACAGTATATGAATCTACAGAGGAAAGGAATATGTGCAAAGAAAAGAGTATTAGGTGAGATCACAAGGAAGGCTTTAATGACAGGAAAGTAAGATCAGAAGGGCAAAAAAGCATGAAGAAGGAAACGGTTACTGGGCAGAAGAAAACTGGAAGGGGAAAGGTAACAGAGGGGTAATGACAGTGCTGGAATATAACTTCAAGAGGAAACAAGAAGGATGGGGAAAGGATCCCAATCGGGACACACTTAGCTTGCAGTGGCAAAGTTACTGGGAAACAAATGAGCTGGTTATTTGAAACAAAAAATGCAAGATAGTCATCTGGATAGAGACAATAAGTACACAGACAAACAAAGGGTTACGGGGCACCTACAACAGTAGGTGGCAACAAGGGGAAACCCGGCGCACGGTCCTTGAGAGCAAGAGAAACCTAGAGAAGTTGACCAAGATGAACTGTGGCAAAGATCCCCCAGCCATGATGGTACTTGAGAGCACTAGGGAATGTCTCCAGGTACAACCAAAAAGCTCCTAGACAGACCTGAGTATCACCAGGGCTATGGGGATTGGTGGGATGAAAAGGGTGAAAGGAAGCAGCACAGGAAAGGACAGGGAGGACAGAGAGCAGGTGAACTCCCCAAAACAGTGCCCGGTGAGGTTACGGACAAAAGCTCACAGGGAGAAAAGAGGGGAGAGGCGTGGGAGGAGCAGGGCCTGGGATGGCTGGGGTGGGCAGTCCCGGGGCCGACTGGGGCACAGAGAGGGCTGCGGGAGGACGGCCCCGAGGTCTGAGAGCCGCCGGGGCGGGACGGAAAGGCTGGGGCAGGCACCGAGGCGCCCTAGCCATGCGGGGGCCGCGGTCACGGGGGAAGGCCGGGGTGGGAGGGAGGGAGCGGGCAGCCCCGCGGTGGTCGGGGAGCTCCTGCGGGGCCGGGACGGCCAGCGGGGCGCTCCCGCACCCCGACGGGGGCGATGCGTGCTGAGTGCGCAGCTCGCGGCCTCCCCGCTCCGGCCCGGCCCGCGGCTCCGAGGCCGGATCCACGAGCGGCCCGGGCAGCCACCGCCGCCGCCCCCGCGCTCCCGGGCCGGCAGCGCCCCCGGGAGAAGAAAGGCGGGCGGGCGGGCCGGGCCCGACCGCCCCTTCCCCCGGTCCCCGCGGCGTGACTCAGTGCCGGGCCCCGCGCCGCCGCCTTCGCGTCCTGCCGGGCCGGGCCGGGCCGGGCCAGGCCTCGCTGCGACACAACGCCGCGGCCTCCCTGCACTCACCAGCATCGCGCGTCCCGCAGAGTCAGGGCCACGTCCGCCCGCCCCTTCCGCCTCCGCCGGGCCCGGATCCGCCGCCGCCGCCTCCCCCCGGCGCGGCCCGGGGATCGCGGAGGCGCCGCCCCTCGCAGCCGCCCCGCCCCGGCTCACGGCGGGCGGGGAACCGGGGCTGCGGCTGCCCGCGCCGGCAGGGCCCGGTGGGGCTGGGCCTCGGCCTCGGCCTGCGGCGGAGCCCGCCCGCCCGCATGAGCCGCTCGGCGGGGGAGGCCGGCCCACCGCCATCCCCTTGGCCTGCCCGAGGGGTCGGTGCTCCGACCCCTCCCCAGGTTAGTCCGGTGCCAGAAGAGCTGAAGGATGAGCTGAAAGACTTGGGAGTGACGATTGATGAAAAACTCAACGTGAGCCGGCAAGTGTACGCTCGCAATCCAAATAGTCAATTGCACTTGGGCTCCATCCAAAGCAGAGTTGGGGTCAGCAGGGCGAGGGAGGTAATTCTGCCCTTCTGCTCTTCTCTGGTTAGACCCCAGCTGGAACGCTGTGTACAGTTCTGATGTCCCCAACATAAGAAGAACATGGAGCTGTTGGAGTAAGCCAAAAGGAGGCCTCGAAGCTGATAAAAGGACTGGAACACCTCCCCTGTGAGCACAGGCTGAGAAAGCTGTGGCTGTTCAGTCTGGAGAAGAGAAGGTTGTGTGGAGACCTCAGCAGCTTTCCAGTATCTGAAGAATCCTAGAGGGAAACTGGAGAGGAGCTCTTTGTCAGGAACTGTAGTGATAAAACACAGGGTAGTAGGTACAAATTCAACAAAGGGAATTTTAAGTTAGATATTTGGAAGAAGTTCTTTACTGTATGGGTGGTGAGGTGCTGGAACAAGGGAATAAGTTGTCCAGGGAGGTCGTGGATGCCCCAACCCTGGCAGTGTTTAAGGCCAGGGAAGTGTCCCTGCACATGGCAGGGGGTGTTGGGACTAGACGATCTTTAAGGTCCATTCCAAAACCTTAACATTCTGTGATTCCATGTGTTTCAGGATTACATCATTAGACATGATAAGACTTTCCTCCATCCATAGCTAAGGAGCTGCTTCTGTATTTATGAGAAAGACAGGTTTCCAAAGTGTCCTGGACACAGTGAATGGCACCACACCAAGTCTGGGAGCCTGAATGGATGGTACAGCTGTGAGTTAACAGTGTGTCTTTGTCAAGCAAATGTTAAACCAAACTGTGAAGCTCCTCTGAGCTCCTGATGTGAATAACATCAGGAATCATTGCCTCTAAGTGCATGAACATTGCCTTGAAAACTGATTAAAATGTGGCTTTTGTAAGAGCTTAGAAATCTTTCTGTAATTGTAAGTTTCAGAGTAGTAACAAGACAACTTGAAAACAACACTGCAGAGAGAAGAGGGTAGAAATTGAAAGAAAGAAATTTACATTGTTCAACTGTGAGCTGCTTGGAAAATGTGTGATGGTATTTGGCCTGACTTATTGAGAGATACGGAGTTACATGAACCTGTTTGCAATCTGCAAACAAATTAAAGCAGAACTATCTACGGTAGATAACTTTAATGTATGATAATAAAACATAAACCTCCTAGCAAATTTGCATCACTTATATGTGGATTGGAAGTGGGGCAGTTATTTTTTCTTTCTAAAAGTACAAAATTGATGATACAAAATCATACCAAAATTAGGACAGGTTTCAGAAAAGTAGTGTTTTGGAGTCAGTTCTGTCTTATTTATTCCTGAAGACTGGAATTATATTGCTGGAGCAGTTGTTGTGAAGAAAAAAACCCAAGGTTTGTAAAAGATGCCATAAAAAGTACTTATCCTTTATACTATTATCAAGAGTTAAACCTGTGAAATTCAGTAGCTTCATGGGAAAGGAAAGAGAAATGGGGAAGCAATAGGAGGAAACAGAAGATTTCTTTTCTTTGCAAAGTGCTTCACTTGCATTCTGGTTCTACTAGTTGTTCACCTTTTCTGAAAATTTGCCTTCTCAAAGCTAATGGTCCTTAGTCATGTTTGTGCTGGAAAAATTATTTCCCTGTATAATAATGCCTTCCCATGGCCCAGCCTACTGAAGTGGACACAAGCAAAGTCACTGACAAAGCTCTTCCAATGAAACAGTGCTGACTAAGGAGCACTGTGTGAAGAACTGGTTTAATGTTCAGGGACGCTGAACATTCAACCAGGAGGGACACTGTCTCAGTCAGCTGGGTGGCATCACGACGCTTATATTTTGCCTATGTAGGTATACTTTGCAAATACCATTCCTGGCCATGACTAAATTTCTGGTTTGCTGACATACATGAGTTGTAGTAGAGGAGAGTTTGTGTGAGTCAGCATCAGCATGGCTAGTTCTGCATGGTGTGTTAAACACTGGGACAGTGAGGGCAAACAAAATAGTTTGTGTGGGACAGGAACCAAATCCAAAGGAGGGTGGTCTGATCATGAAAAATAAGGACTGGTTTTTCAGTCTTGGAAAGTTAGGTTTTGGTGCTGTATTTTACAGCAATTGTCTTTGCAAGAGGTAAAGGCATCATTGTTTTAAAGCCTAAAACAAGGGGACAATAGAGCTATAGATAGCAAGAAAAGTGAAAGAGAAATGACAGGAAGGGAACAATCTAAAGGGAGAAGGAAGGCCTGGATTGTGGATTGGCATGATCTTGCACTAAACTGTTTTTTTTTTTTTTTTTTTTTTTTTTTTTTTTTTAGCTTTTGTGATTAACTGCAGTATAAGCCTGAGATCTGACAGTTTGGAGTGTTGAAATTTGTTTATCTTTTTCCTCAAGGCTGCATTATGATTTGTGCTCACTTTATAGAGACAAGGCACGGCTCTCCGATTTTATTCACGCTAGTGGTAGCTGAGTTAACACTCAGAAAAGGTAGGCCATAAAAAAAGCCAACTAGACAATTCGGACATGGTGCATAACATGGCTCCTTCATACATCCATTGAAAGAATTCCAACAGCAGGGTAAGTGATCACAGAGAGAAAAGGGAACTGAATGCAGGGAATTGAATGCCAAAATACCTATTACCAAATTACTCATTGCAGAACGGCTCATGCATTTTAAATTGTCCAATGGAATTTATGTACTTTGTGTGAAAGGAGAGAAACTTCCCCTTAGAGACTGAGGCAGCCAGAATTTCAAAGACAGATTTCGTGAGAGAAATCCAGTCTTTTTTTTTTACTAAAATGAACTTATGGTGCTGCTGAGAGGGGCCTGTTTTCAAAATAACTTGCAGGTCTCACACTTGTTGCATCAGCAGTGAATCAGCATACACTAAGCAAGAAAATTATCATTACAATGTTTGCTGTCAGTTTATGTAGGTAGCTCCCTCAGCAAAGAAGAAAAGCCTGAGTCATTCAAAGACAGAGTTGCAGTGGCTGCTAGTTGATTACTACTGTCAGGAGTCTGGGCTGATTTGGAGGGATACTTTCCCCGCTAGCTACATGTGCAGTGATGGTCTGAAAACCATCAGTAATTAATTATATCACCCCCTTGATACAGCCAGGAGGACAGGCTTGGTATAGGCAGAGTAGGTGACAACCAGATTTGGTAAAGGTTGCATGGCTGTATTAAACATCTCTTGCTTTTTCTAGCAGATTTGTTTTCCTTGGTGTTTAGGTAAGCTCCTAAGTGGTGGTTTCCCATTTAAATGCTTTATTCCTGGTTTTGAGTTGAGCCCAGTGTGCTCTGTAGCTCTGAGAGCCTTTGTTTTTGAGCTAGTGAGAGGCTGCAGGCATGTTTTTCCTCTTCTTGTTTCTTCTTGGGAGGATTGCAAGCTAAGATACAGGAAATAAAAAACAACATGTTTGGGAAAGGGATATATAGTTGTGTACAGTATGTAAGCATACTACCAATTTCTTCAGCTTTTTTGTTGAGTAGAAAATTTGAGTTTCAGGATATTCCATGATTGCTTGTAAATCAGTCTTGGACTCAGTCTCTCATGCACATTTGTATAAAGTACTGGAGAAGAGATATCGTCTGTGCTTCTATTCAGTGGAGCACAAAAGAATATGTGAATGACAGATGATATTCCACTACTTTGCTGCTTCGTGTGCTGTCAGTCTCTGTGAAGGTGAAGAACATTTTGTGGAGATCAAATTGTTCTTCACAAAGGCCAGTCTCTGCATGTGCCAGGCTCCTACATTGAATAAAAAGGCAGCCTAGGAGCATTCACAAACATGGTAACCTTTGGTTAATCTGCCCCTTTAATGAGCACAGGTCAATGTTTTTATTGTCAAGCACTCTGGCTGTATCACCAGCAGGAACAATATGTGTATACAGATATGTTTATAGAGGGCACACAACCAGCTCTCCTCAAGCCTTCTGGTTTTTTCTCTTCTCTGACAGGTTGTCTGTCACCTGAACGATTGATTTTTTTAGAGGTTTGCAGCAGTCTGAATTCCAGTATTAGAGCAGAGAAGAGGAACAGAGAAAAGTTGAGTTAGAAGGAAGCTACAACCATATTTTACTCCATGAGCACTTTAGCCTAATCACTTCTAGTAGTTCTGACCTCAAACTGGGATGTGGAGATATTAAGAAGAATAGGATCACAAGAAGTGAAGCATCATTGCCCATCCAGAGCAAAGAATATTAATGTCTCTTTGGGCATGAGCAGAAGATGAGCAAATATTCACCTTTTTCTAAACTTGGAGATATTTAAATTCCAAAATGGAGAGTATTTATTCATACATCTAAAGTCACACAGGTACTCTGGGAATTCATAATAGACAGATGGTGGTAGTGTTTTTGGTTGGTTGGTTGGGGTTTTGTTGTTTTGTTTTTTTCTTTGCAGTAATTTCTAGACTACAAGCTTTCAATCATAAATGGTCTACTTCCACTAATGCCTCTGGTATCTACTGTGGCAAATAATGCACTGATCCACTGCCTTTTCTTTTTCCATCCTGTTCTTCATTGGGCTGAAGGTTTCTCTTTTGCCTGAGAACCAAGACTGAGCATTGGTTTAACTCATTAAAGCTCCTTCTTTGTAGGAGTTTTTACAGGCTGAAAGACAACCTTGGTTATGCTTCTCTTTTTTTCTTTTTTAAATTTTTAGTAGCAGCTAATCTGCTGCTAATGTAACAGAACTCTGTTTCATTGATCTTTAGTAAAGCTAATATTTCCTTTGTTTGTTTTCTGTAGTTATTTGATATTTTGTGATGGTGAACAGGCAGCTGTTCACAGACACAGCATGTGTAATGAAAGAAATTGATGTGTATAAACATTTTTCATAGGGGAACACTGCTCTTCGGGCTTAACTTGTTTCTCACTATATTTTTACCTGAAGGACGGAGAACAAGGAAGAGCAGTGTCACAGGAGCAAGCCACAACTCAGCTTTTCACACTCAGCAGGTTCAGAACAACAGTTTTTCCTTACTGCATTCTTCCTCAGGCTGAAACTTCAGACCTTCCAAGGCTCACTCTCCTTGGTTTGAGCCCACTGAGATGCTTCACAGGACACATTCTCTTGTAGGGTAGTTAGATTCTCTCTGATCAACATTGGGTCTAACCTCTGTACATGGAATTCCTAAAAGCAGGAAGGTCTAGTAAGGTACATGGCAGGAGATTTTTCATTTGACCGGCTTCTGATTTTCATCTGACAAGCTTCTGATTTTTCCTTCAGTGCCACGATACTTAAGAGTCTATGTGCTTAAACCTTATGGTTTAGGTCTTGTAGAAGTGTAAGAAAATAGCTGGAGGAAATATTTGTATGCTAACTTCTCACTAGCTTGACAGGTAAACATAGTGAATTGTAATATATTAAATATGTGGGTACAAATTACAAGAGGGGAAATTTGAGTGAGGTATTAGGAAAAAGGTCTTTACTGTGAGGATGGTGAGTTGCTGGAACAGATTGCCTAGGGAGGTTGTGGATGTCCCAAATCTGGCAGTGATCAAGGCCAGGCTGGATAAGGCTTGGAGCAACCTGGTCTAGTGGAAAGTGTCCCTACCCATGGCAATGGAGTTGGGAGTAGGTGGTCTTTAAATTCCCTTCCAACCCCTTAACATTCTGTTTCTAAAACAATCCATAAGAGAATGATTTGTAGTAATTTAATGTGTTATCTGTACATATCAGTGCATGGCATCAAAATAAGATGAATGTTTGCAGGAATGGTAAGAAGACAGGTGGTTTGTGTGGTCAGGAAATCAGATGATACCTGAAAAGCTGACTGAAATGTAGCCTTCACCACAGAAATCTCTGCAAGTCGCTGCTTTTGATATTTGTGGTGTGGGTCTGTGGGTACCTATGACAGTGACAGGAGCTCCTGCACCTTCTGGGCATCTACAGGCTTTGAAGATTGCTTTTTCCATGAAAAGACTCTTGCTCTGGGACTGACAGTGAGGCTTATGAGCAGACACATCAGCCAGTGCCAGAGGACACTGGTCCTTCACCTGGCATTGCAAAACTCAGCAGTGCTGCCCTTTACTGAACATGCAATGTGTTTCTCTAACACAGAGATTTCAGTCCTTTCCCTCTTTGCTCCCATGGCCTGGCTCTTCTCCCAGCTAGGGAGGTTACTATTTCTTGAGCCTTTACTTCTAGGGTTGCTTCCCTTTCAGTACCAATTCAGGACCTCTCAGGAACTGGAAACAAGCTGCTCCTTCATGGCTTCTGTTTCCTGCCTTTGCTTATGAACAGCTCTGGCAAGAGCACTGCTGCTGCAGCTTCTTCCAACTTTGCCCGAATGCAGCTCTGCTGTCTCTAACTGGTGTCCTCAGCACAGGCCCTCCATTGCACTTACCAGTGCTGCTGGAACGTGAGGTTTGTTTCCACTAACTCAGGAGCTCACTGGAGGCATAGATACAGGCATAGGTATAGATGTGTGCTTGTGTGCCTGCATCTTTTCTTCCTGGTTGTTTCTAAGAGATCATTATGCTTGTTTTGTACCAGGAGTGGGCAGAGGCAGTAGCATCTTCTGCTGCTGTTTTCAATGTGAACAATGGTGTTTTGCCTAAAAGAACAGTTTGTTCAGACAGACACAAGTGTTTCCTCGTTTCAGATAGGAATCCATCCATCTTCAGTAGCCTACACCAACGTCTCCAATGACACACTGGGTGGCTTTCCCTTTTCGCCCACAGACCACTCAAGAAGAAAACCTTATGGGGGGGAGACCAACAGTCCTTATGCATTCCAGGGGTGAACAAACGTGCTGGGGTGATATGTTCTCAAAGCCACAATCTCTAGAGAATGCATTCTCTCTATAGAATACAGGATCCTTTCCTTCAGTGGTACTTATCTGAGATGTTTTAAACTGATCTACACAACTGAGTTGGTTATTTGTTTTCCTTTAGTGTTGCAGGGAAAACCTGTTCAGTCCACATGGTTTAAAGCAAGTTGGGATCTGAGTGCTTTACTGATCTGTCAACAACATGAAATTAAGCAGCAATCAGTGAAATGTTGCATTTGAGATCAACAGTAGTAATACAACAGGTAAACTCCCAAACTAGACATATACTCATGTTAATGAGCACCAGAAGATTTCTAAACCCCTTCTGTAACAAAAGCAGAAGAGATTTCTGAAGTGCTCCAAGCCTTTCCATAAGAAAGATATGGATTGTGTAAAGCCTTGGTGAGAACTCATTTACACCCATGGTATAAATTCCTTTCTTTACATAGTCTGGATATCCAGATGAATTTACAGGGATGCCTTGCAGCTGTACACAATGTGTGGCCTCCAAGGACAGGGATGGCCTCATGATCACAGGGACTTGGTCTCTAGACTTTAAAGGTTCAGTAAAGTCAAAACCTTGAATTAATTTTCTATACCGAGCTAGTATAATCGCTGAATGTCCAAAAATAGTTTGTGTGATTCTTGTCTAGATCAGACAGATTTTAGTGATTTGCCTAATGAGAGCTGCCAAAATGCCTTAATGTTCCTATCTCAGAAGTCTGAGAGATACCCGATGAATTTTTATAGCTTGGAGACCCATTCTGCTGGCTAATAGCAACTACCTTCACATTATTGCAAGAAAAAGGTGGTAGACTTAAACTCAGTACAGCAAGTAATCACTTTTACCCTAATTCTCTTGTGTTTTTTCAGAGTGAAGTACATAAAACCCAGATAGTAACAGATGATGTACATTTTCTTAAAATGGTAAATTACAAGTCAATTATGAAGGAATTAAAATTGCTGTTGTAAAATAAACCAAGTACATTGTGTTGTTTATGACTGATGCTCCTAGTTATTTGTCATTATGTTTTCTTTTTTAATTCAACAATATACAGAGGATTTTGAGCATATCATTGCAAAATTAGCCCACTTTGCTGGATAATAAATACTCTTATCTTTTTGCTAAACAAAAGACTACATAAAACGAATAACAGTAGTATTAGTATGGGAAAAACCTAGTGCTCCAAAAAGCCATTGTAAGTACACTTGAGCAATAATTACCGGCAACAATGCCTCCACTCCTTGAAATTTATCATAGAAATTGTGATAGCACTAAACTTTATTAAAATCTGGGACAGTTTAGGATGCCATCTACTTAGAGAAATTACCAAAACACATTTACCCCCATTAAAAATAAAGACACGAAAATAGCCCCAAAAGCTGAAAATGTGCTCATTTTTCTCTGGTTTTGTATTTTGGTTTCTAGAAACAAGTTATTCTCACATAGTAGTAATAATAATAATAATAATAATAATAATAATAATAATATTACTACTACTACTACTACTACTACTACTACTACTACTACTACTTCACCTATCTTTATGAGCTTCATGCACTTCAGTTTTACAATATAGCAAGATAACAAAACAAAATGTTTTGTCAAGAGCTACATGTAGCTACAAACATGTGTTTGCGCCCAGATGCTGTATCCCAGGTAGGTGTTATATCACTATACACACTCCTTGGCACTATGCAGATCAGTTTTTAACTCCTGTCAGCTTTATTTTTTCTGCTGAAGACGCAAAATAGCATAAACGTTGACCTTTTAACACAGGCTTGGCAATATGCTTGGGAAGGATTACTTATCTTTAAAATCATGGCAATTTTGTAGCATCAGAATATGAGACTGATGGTCAAAAAGTACATTACCCCCACTTCTGCACCAGTTAAGGCTATCAGTCAGGGTCACTCTATGTCAGTAAGGAAAATAATGGTAAATAATACAAGTGATTCCCAAGGCAACTAATCCCTGGGGGACAACATATGAAAACATTTGGAAATAATTCTAATGACATTAGAGTTAGTAAATCATGCAGGTGCTTTGTACACCTTCACAGTACACACTGTGTGTGGCCAATTCACAAGCTGTAGAGTTATAGGCTGAACACAGACCAGCTGCTGGACTGCAGACATCTTATTTTTCCTCTGTTCTTACCAGTAAATATGATACTGATTATTCCTTTTGTTTCCATTCTGTGTAAGATGACTTGATAAGCTGAGACTAATAATTACCAAGATGCTGTAGCCAACATGTGCTGGGCTTGCTGCTCAGGGTTTTGGGTTTTTTTTTGTATTTGCCCTGTTCAAGAAACGTGTCCAGTGGATTTTCGGAGAATATTTACCATGCTTTAGAACACATAAGTGAATAAAATGTTAAGTGTGAATTAGTTTTCCACGTGAATAATTTTGGTTTTGCCAAATATTTAACATCAATGTTGTTGGTCAGTGTCTGGTAGTAACTGATGCATCACTGCTGCCAAGCTCCACCACAAAGCTTCTATGTACTCAAGCAGGGCAGCTGGTGTAAACATGCTTGAGATGCTAAAAATCACTCCCTTTTGACACAAAGGTGAACAACTTTACATTTAATTTGAAATATCCTGAATACGAATTGCTTAATATTGGAAAAGCAACTAAGATTTATTTCAGTAGCAGAAGACTACCATTGCTAGTAGGCTACACCCTAGTACAGAAATCTCCAGGAAAGCTATTTCTGTCCAAATGAAGGAAGTACACACAGAGAGATTTTAAAATGTGAATCTACATTTTTGCACCTTATTTTACTGAAGTATAGTTAGTTATTGATCTGGTTTTCAAAATATTCAGAAACTAGCACTTAGCAGAACTATTTGTTAATATTTGTTAAACTGATCTCTAGTGAGCCAAAATTTTTCATAGTGACTCAATCACTATCATTAAAGCTTCCATTACTTCAGAACTGTGGTCTGTTCTCAGTTTACTTCTGATTAAACAAACAGTAAAATTATCCTAACTTTTAATAAAGTGATTCATATATCAGTTTTAATTTTTTTTTTCAAAGCAACACTGATCTCCCATATAAAGATCATGTAAAGACAAGTGTTTCTTATTTTGTAATGACCTCTAATTTTTTATGGATTTAAGGAGCTCTATGAAAGTATTCTTACTGTAACTATCTTATATTAACCTAATTCCTTCTTGTTAAGATTTTGAGAATTTAGTTAAAGGTAGGAATTACAGACTTCTACAGATCTTGCTCAATTTATTTTGGCAGACGTTTTTACAAAGCATTACAAATTACTTAGAGACACTCTAGTCCGGGCTGCTTCACATTGCTGAGGCTGGTCAGAAGGCTTGTGTCATCTTCTTCAAGGACATATGTTGCCTGTTGTTTTTGTTTGCTGTCCCTGACATTTCTACCTTCCAAAATGCCAGGCATCAACAATCAGTCTTATTAAATTCTTGCTAAATAAAAGCTGTAAATGCAGCAATGGGAGGTGATGACGGGTAGGTGCTGAGCTCTGGCTCCAGCACAAAGCACAATCCCTGTGTGCCATTAGGCAGTGAGAATCTGCATATGTGTGGGGACAGGTGGTGAAGAAACAGGATTCCCACCCTCTCTGTTGCTCCCATGTGCTGGTTATTAGGATATTTTCATCAAAGAGGTCATTAATGGACCAGTGTTGCTCTACACTGAAACGTAGCGGTGCCCAGAATAGATGGTGCCTATGCTTTCAAAGACAGTGGATTGGTTGAGGGGGAGGAGGAGGAAAGGAATCTTTCAATAATGGTATCTTAACAGGCATGGTTTCTATTTCTGTGTAGCTGGAGGGGTTTGAAATGTCCCACTTTTAAGCTAGAAGTATATTGTATAGCACAGAACAACTCTTCAGAGTTGGATTAGTTATATTGCCTCATATTTGTGCAGTCAAACTGCATATAGATTGACTTTTAGAGGTGCTGAGGAAATCTAAGTTTCAATGCCTGCTGTTGGTATTCAGCACTGAAGGAACTTTATAGAAGTGCCTAACAATTATGGCTCCAAGTTTGAAAATGTGATCCTTTATAAAAAAGCACAGAAACTTAGCTAGATTATTCTTCAATGACTTCATGATCATAGTCTTTGGTTGCAGTGTGATCCATATAGCTGTTGTGCCTTTTCAGCTCTGAGCATTGCTAGTGGAAAGTGCAAAATTCTATGAAGCAAGTTTTTATAGCAGCTCATGATGGATTGAAAAGACTTGATTTCTCTTAGGGGTGTGAGCCAGAGAAAAACTGATCAGTGAAAGAGTCGAATTCATGGTGCTAGTTGCAGGTGCAGTCTGAATTTCTGCAGTATACATATAAAATGCCAGAAGTATTTGCAGAAATATTGCCTAACAGAAGGCAATCAGCTGGTCTGATTGAAGCCATCAACATACCAGAATAAACCAACAGCAGGAACACCACAGCAACTAAAAAAGCATATTAACATTGCTGTTTAACTTATAAGATCCTGACAAGAGAGAATCTAAGAATCTTTCAGTGATAATTTTGTGCAATTCTCTTCAAAGTGCATCCGTGTTGTAGGGAGGCACTATTTTTGTAAGAAACTGCAAGAGGCACTGAAATTCTAAGATACTCTTTTTCATATCTAAAGATGAAGGCAAGCACACAGGATCCAAGCCCCTCATGCATTAAAGAGAAGTTAGGCATGGACATGGTGTTAAAAATACTACCTGAATTGCGATTTGCAAGTTGAAATAGATAAATTACTTTTCAAAGGCCTGCAGGAACTGATTCCCTTCCTCTCATTTCTTTCTTTACTAATTCTACAGAATTTGCTCTGGGAAAAAAAAAAATAGAGAAACCTTCAGTACTGAAAGCATTTGAAAAAATATGATGAGTCAGAGGAAAAATGTATTGCAACCATTGGTGAGTGATGTACTGGTAGATGGAGGCAACACAGAGAATGGGTTATATTGAAGTAACACAGAACTGTCCCTTTGCCTGAATGCTCCCAGTTTGACAGAGATGGGCAGGGAGCTGGTATTTAACACTGCAGGCCTTTCAGTACCTCATACAGCACCAGGAACTGTTCACTACCTCTGTATTTAAATGTTGATCAAAAGCAAATATTTATCAACTTCACCACCACAACCTGTGCAGCGATTACTACATGCAGGAATGTATTTCAGCAAGGACTCAGCTACTTTGTGAATTGAGGTTGTTCTCCATTCTATAGCTGTCAATGAAGTGGGCAAGTTTTCTAACCTCTCTTCTAACCAGTGATTGCTGAGAGTTTTAGGGAAACAAGTACCAGTGAAAGCTGAGTGTATGTGCAGTAGAGGAGAGACAGGCACCTTACCTTCATGCTGCTAAAGTGACATAAATCCCACTGACCCTGCCCAACAATGAAAGTTCTCAAGCCTACTATTCTCTTTCCTTGTTCTAGCTCTGTGAAATGGTGTCAAAGCCAGGAATAGGAAGGGCAATTCCTCACCAGAACAGGACAGATATTGTTGGCTGTGAAACCACCCCCATTTTTTATTTTCATGGGCAATTTTAAGCCTTCTTCATTGGTTATGAGCTCCGTCTCTCGTGCTGGGTCTAGCACAGTCAGACAACAAAACAGTGACATCTGGACCTGCCCAGGGAAACAAAATGCCCAGAGAAATAAATATGCCTGGGGAAGAAATTTGTTTGAAACAGAAGAAGATGAAAAATTATAATATTATCTCAGAAAAATAATGTTTCTGCATTAATATTATAATAAATATTAACATTTAAACTATATAGTAATATTATTGCATTGATACTTATTAATGTCAAGTTTCTGCATTTTTAAAGACATGTTTAAAAGTTATTCAATTATTTTTGCACAGTAATCACAGAATCTGCTGCAATGGCTTTATAATATTGTAACCTTCTTATGTACTGAACAATGAGGATTTTAACTATGTAAAGCTAAGGAGTCCCAAAGCCATTACTGATAAACTGTGTAGTAATCATGACTTTTTAAATAAGGGTTTTCCTTCTTAGTAACTTTCTCAGTCTTTGCATCTCTGTCATTAAAAAACAATGTAAGTCACTACAAATATTTTCTTTTTCCCTTCTTTCTATTTTCTTTTATCTTTTTTTACTAATCTTTCTACTTCATGACCTCATTTTTTTTTTTTTTTACCATTTAAATCCTAAATGTTTTAATAGGCTATATGGCATTTTCTATCAAAAAGCAAAGCAAAGCAAAGCAAAAAACTAGTTCTGGACATTTATCCTTGATTTTCTGGATATTTTTCATTTCTGAACTTTTCTTCTCTGGTATTTTGTTGCTCTTATGAAATATGAAATTAACCTTTTGCATTTCATTCATTCATATTTATCTTTTCCAGTTATCAGTGTCTTTCTTTTTACTGCCTCCTTAGTCTTCCAAACTTGTTTAACTCTATCTTCTGTCTGGTTTACCTTTGAGAATCATGAATGATAACACTCAGAACACAACAGAAAATGTTCAGGTTGACTTCAAAGACTGAAAGACAATCCTTGGAACATGAAAAAGAGAAGATATCATTGGTGTGGAGGATAGGCTCAGGGGACAGTTTCAATTGATCAAAAAGTCCTTGATCTTGGAGAACCACAAACAGAAGATTAGCAATGTACAAATTTAATGGATGGGCTTATTAATGCCTTTGGTGAATCAGGTAAATAACCATAGCTCTGTTTTACAATTAAACGCAGACAAGAAATATCCTATTCCTGGTCCTAAACTTGATATTCATCTAGGTTTTATATGCTTTTGTAAGATTTCTCAAGGGCAAATTTCATCAAAACAGATAACAAGGTTTACAAAGATGAATTTCTAATTGTGCTGAGATGTATCTCAATTTAGTAACCTAAAAGAAAAACGGCAGCCTGATTATCAGAATTATTGAGTACCCACAGTTTTTTTATAGCTTATATGCAGCAACTAAACTCAGTGTCTCTGGCAAACAGACCAACTTTATTAGGGTATCTAAAGTCAGGCCACTGGTTTTGGAATATTTATCTGCAGGAGGTCGGTACAAGTTGCATAGAAATCCTGGGAGAGCCATCATTCAGATCTCAGGTTTCCAGATGTCAACTCTGTTCATTAATCATGGGTCATCCTTAGGTTTTTTAAATATACATAGTGCAATAGTACTGTGGATAGTCTTACGAAATACAAACAGGCAAATAATTTTGTATGTGGCATGCCCAAGTTTTCATAGGGTGTCTCTGTCATAAGCTCTGTTTCATCTTGCATTCCTGCAGACGTATCATTACAGAAGGTAAAGCAACAGAGGCCTATAAGGATGTGGCTGGGTCTGTTTACATGTTAGCTCCATATCATCTGAAAGCTGGATTAAGTCCATGCATACACAATAACCTGTTTTGGCAGTGCCTACAGATGGCATCAATAACTCCTTCAAATTCCTTCCCAGATCTCAAAAACACAGTGAAGAGACCATGATTATTTATGAAAGGCATAAGTGAGATCTGGAGAAGCGGGGTGGTTAGTTTGTGCTGCAGCCAAAGGCAGATGCTGAACCTGCTTGCTGTCCTGCTGCTGGGCAGGGCTTTGGCCATGGTGCCTGATCTCACCTGGATAAGGGTAAGTGGCAGCAGCAGGAAAGGGGCCAGTATGGAAGCAAGAAAAGCTCAGCCAGGACTCACCTGCCTTTGATGTTTCAGCCTTGGGAGAAGAGGTGTTGCCTTTCTGGGGTTGAGCAGGGACCTTTGTGGAGCCTATGTAAGGAAAAGGAGGGAGAGAGGCAGCAGAGGTTGTATCTTTGCTGTTCAACAATTACATGTTCACTAGGCCATAGCAGTTGTGGAGTGGAAAGGAGAAGCAGACCCAACCTGAGCTGATTAAGATGTTCAGGGGGATTGAGACTGCAGGAGGTGAGATTGAAAAAAAAGACTAACATGTCAAAATAGCATCCTCTTAATTTTATCTGGCTTTCTAATCAGATTTGCTGTGGAACAGAAAGAACACATTCACTGCTTGGTATTACCTTAAATAAATTAAAATAATGCTTAGAAAGTGCTACAAAAGATGCTTAAAGAAATTACATTATTCACCTGCAATATTCTTGTCTGATTTTATCTTTTACAGTGATTTCTGCATTATGTTTTAGAAATGGAAAATTATGGATGTGCTGTGATTTAGAAATGGAAAAATATTAGCGTAAGTTATATATGATCCACCATCTATGAGGATAAAACTGATGGCTGTTCTGGGATGCTTGTTTTTATTAGCAGGAGTGTTTTGTAATAACCCAAGCATTCTAAGCAGGACAGATGCTGGGGATGCTATCATACCCAGGTAACGTGGGACAGACCATGACTCTGATTTGATTGCCACTCTAAGCCTTGGCTTGGACCATGACTTAGATGTTGTGGCTTTGGTTTTGCTCCCCCTTGCCTCTGGAATGGTGCAAATAGAAATAAAATTAATCTTAAAAATCCAAATAAAAGCTAACATAGAAATACCAAGGTCCTAAAGATATTATATATATATATATGTACATTTAATAAAATCTTTCATGAACATTTTTATCCCCACAAAGACATGCTGCAGCTTACCAGAAAGACCACAGCTGTCTTCTTCAAGAAGAAGATTGGTTTGTTCTTGGCTGTTTCTACATAGATGTCAACATTTCAATAAGCTCATGTTTAAAAGATTTGCAGACAAACTTTTGTCTTCCCCCTTGCCCTTTCCTCCCCTGCTCAGCTGCTGCTTTTGCTTCACAGATGGCATGGTGCTATGTCCCCAGTTGGAAATGAGAAGTAAAATGACCATTTTAAAGACATGAAGCAACCCACATACTAGACTGTCTTCAAGCCTCTGTGCCCCACAGTGGTACCCAAGACATTGACAATATCTTGGTCCGGCTACATGTCAGCTTTTTCAGCTGCTTGGTCATTCTAGGTCAAGTCTGGCTAAGGAGAAGATATTGCACTGTCACCCATGGTGAATGGTGATCTATGACAGGCAATAGCCTGGTATGCACATCTTTTTTAATAGATCTGGAAAGCTCCCCATTTAAAGAGCTCAGGGAGAGGTAATATATTCCAGATTTTTTTGAAAAATGGTTCTCATTCTTGAGGTTTGGCTATATCTAACACTGACCTTTTCAGTTTCCCAATTCTAATGGCATATGTTGTAACCATCTATGAATCTGAACCTAAGGAAGAACACAAAAGGAAAATACACTCATAAAACAGAAAACAAATTAATGCCTAAACAGTTTAAATAAATGCCACGTTAAAATAAACAATTTCAGGTATAATTCTCGTGGAAAAGCTTTTAAAGAGTTCAATGAAACTGTAACAGTGTTATCTCACTAAGTAATAATTCAGTTCATTTCTTCTCAGTATAGCAAAACTTTTGAACATAAGCATGTCTCTTCGTACTTCTAAGGAAAGATTAATAAAACTTAAAAGGAGAAAAAAATACCCACACCCTACACAGGTCTCAAGCTCTCAAATTTAAAAAAAAACCCTAATTTTTTATCTTTATTGCACAAAGACTTTGAAACATATCTGCCTAGCAAATAACATAGTTAATTCATCCAGTCAGTTGCCCAAGTCAGGTAAGTTCAGTCCGTTATATGATGAGTGCACCAGAAGGTATTAACAAAAATGAACCCTCCCCAGTTAGAGTACAATGAAAGCTCTTGATGATCACACTTTGTATTGCAGAGCCTTCATTTTCTTAATTTTGTTTCAAGGTGCTCTAGGAGTTTCTATGTGCATATTTTATTTGCATTTAGGAACAGACACAATTTAATTTTTTTTTCAGTTAATTTGTTCAAGAATCACTGCTCTTTAAGTTTATATAAGTACCCATACTTATTAATTTTAAAAAATGCAAAATACTTTATATATTGTCTTTACTGTTAGCAAATACTTTGTATTGTATTTTGAGATCTTAAAGGTGCCAACCTGTTATCCTTAGTATCATTATTTTCATTTAATCTGGAGATCATTAGCTGTTGACTTCCACATATTAAACCAGGTCAGCATGCTCCATGACGTACAATTGAGTACTGGAAATATTCTTCCTTTGTGTTACTTCCAAATACTGACACAGGAAGGGAAGATACAAAAAATATTCTGGTGAAAATAAAAGTCTTCCTATTGACATGGAGATGGGAGTGAATCAAAGTCACTGCCTTTAAAATGATGTCAGAAAGTGTAACTGGCTAAAAAACCGTGAGCCAGTGCTCCATGAAAGCAGAACAATTTGGGGAGGAATATTTTCAAGTCTCTATACTTCATATTTGGTTGTAATTTAATTCCATTTCATCATTTAACAAATGCTAGGAAATGGAAGTAATGCCCTCAGGTATGTGTCTAGCCAGCCCCTGGACTAAGAAGATACTGGCTGCTCCTGTGTCTAAGACCAGCTCCATGAATATCCTTTCACTGTCTCATCCTGACTTCTGACTGGAGACCTGTCCCCTACAACTGTTAGGCACCTATAAAAGGTCTTATTTACCCCATAAATTCATGTTACTCCCTATCTTGGAAGATAAGACGTGGGCTTTTTGTTCTCATTTATCCAGAACAGGTATAGGTGAAAGGTGAAAAAAAAAAGCAATTTTCATAGTGCTCCCAACACAAGGATTGCTTCTTAGAATACTGTGTAAAATAAAAACAAATTATCAGCAATGTTGATAAAATAAATCTTAATGTTATGTATAGGACAATTATTTTCAATTCTAGGTGCAGGGAAGGACTATGATATTTTTCAGACATAGACATGAGTTTCAGTATATGTGCAGTTATCAGCTAATAATTTTTCAAAGTATTTTTCAGTGTGCCTTGAAAGAATAGAAGATGAATAGAAAGATGATCAGCAGTGAAAGGCAAACATGGGCTGACTTCCAGCTGTTTATTGTAATAGTAACCGTTGGTCAGATGCAAGTAATATATCTGTATTTTGCACATGCAATTCCACAGAGACAAGTAGGATACTTTTGATTTAATGCTCTCAGAGCATAATCTCCATTCTGATCTGACCAGTGTCCCTAAATGCAATTTAAGTAAATACATATCATAAAGATTTTTTGTTAAAGTTATGTATGTATGTGTGGTGAATTTACTTACCACATGTATGTATTTATTTCTTTATTTATTCATTTATTGCAGGGGCTATCCTGGAAGTATGTCATTATATCTCTTCTTCTGAGAGAGGAAGAATAATGAAGTCTTTCATCTCCTTGGGCAAATTCTTTGGTCTGGCAACAGGTAGCAAGAACTTCTTCTCACCCTGCAAGTACTCTACAAATACTTGCAAGTACAGCAAATACTTGCCTTCAGAATGAAGTAGCATCAGTGCCAGGTGTTTTCAGGTCATTCTGTGCTGCAGAGGACAAGAAGAAAATGCAGCCCATGGGCCATTCTGCAACCCTCTTCCACTTTTCTTGGCTTTCTTGACACAAGCGAGAGCATATACCTATAAAACATGTACCCTGTTTGCAAAATCCATCATGGTCTCTTTTTGGTTACTGTTGCTTGGAAGAAATAAACATTTTTCCCAAACCCACAGGAAGCTTCTCCATGAGGAATCCAGGGCTAGGTGAGAAATCAGAGGCATTTTGCTGATGTCTCTTTTTTTATTGACAACTCATTGTCACTTAATCATTCATGCTACATTTAACTACCTTAGCACAGGACCACGCTAAACACAAGGCTGGCTGTGTGATTGAGAAACAGATTGGATTAGCAGCAGTGTCATTTGGTTTAAATGAAGCAATAGGACTGATGCAAAGTATTAGCTTAAGATAATACCAGCAGTTCTAGAAACAAAACTTGTGCTAAGGAAACTGAAAATCTGGGAGTAATATTTTTAAAGTGGGCAAAACTTGCCTGCATTGTATCTTCTGGCAGAGCAAAAGCTGGCTTTGAGAGTCTGTAATGGGAATATTGCAGGCTCCAGAGCACTGTCCTACAAAGTCTTTTTTTCATCACTGTTAGTATGGTACATTGCTTTTGTTTATGAGATCTTCTGCTTATAAAAGTTTGATTGAAATAGTCCATTCTGTATCCAATTCTTGTGTACATGTATTTTAGTATATGCAAGTGCACAAATCTTGTGCACATGTACACACACACATATGTTCTATGCACATTTGAGGACAGACTCAAGCTCACATTATATACACATACTTAGAATCACAGATGGTTTGGGTTGGAAGGAACCTTAAAGGTCATCTAGTTCCAACCCCCATGCCATGAACAGGAACAACTTCTACTAGACAGGTTGCTCAAATCCCCATCTGATCTGCACTTCTGATGGTTTTTCAGCCTGAATATGTTGCTGAGGGACACCATGGTGTTACAGTATAAGTGGCTGTACAACTTAACAACAGAAGCCAAGCTGATGAGAGAATGTCATGGGTCACAGCTTGGGCATTGATGGAGATTAAGCATGTCGTAGATTAGCTCAAAGTCGTCCAAGAGCCAGGAGTGCCTGCTGTGGAAACTACAACCCTTCCATAAAAATGTGGCACTACCACTTGTTTGCTTCCAGGAGTTCTTTATCAACAGCCCTGGTCTAATGTACTTATCAAGACTACCACACATTAGAAAAATAGCCATCAGACCATGGCTGAACTACCATGGTATTTGCCCAGAGGGTTCTTTCATGCATCGTATACAAAGTTTAAATAAAAGTCTAAGACAGGATGCACATTGTTCACAACCTTTTCTGAAATTTCTGCTAACTGTTTGAAAAGTGACAACAACATGATTACTTCTACACCAGCCCATCTTTCTAACCCCAAAGGCACAATTTGCATGAGTTATCTTTACAGAATAGGCTTGAAGAGAAGCATTCCCAGGCCGCTGATATATTCAGGACAAAATATCCTTGCAGTTCCTGAAATGCAGAAGGCAAGTTACTGTCTGCTTTAGATCTTGTCTTCAAAATCTTGTATTTCCCTTTCATTTGCAATCCATTCCCACCGGAAAGCACTGAGGGGATGAACTTTGTGCAAAAGTTGACTTTCTGTCATGACAGTGCATGTGGTTCCTGTACCTTCCCTAAAGTTGATCCATCCAGAACAAAGAAGCACTTGATTTCTCGGAAAGACCAGTCCAGTAAAAGAAGGCATGTCTGGCAGAAACATGATGAAAAAGTTGATTCTATGAATTTCGGGATGTTTCTAATATAGTCAACTATCAAAGAAACATTAAAATACAGTAAGTATATCTATAAATAATGCAACATAATGTAACACAACATAGCATAGCAGAATCCAGAGTATGTATTATATTAATACTACATAATATGTAATGTAATATGTGGTATACAACATGCTATATATCATATGTATCTTCTATTACATACTATAGATATGCGAGTGTGTATATGTAATATGGATAGATATACATATTTAATGACAGAATCAGTCTTGATTAACCCAGTGGACCTATCATTCCTGCCCACATCCCTCTTTTCCTAGCAGTGCTTCTACATTTTCATAATGAGTGCCCAGAGCTTTTGGTGCTATAAGTGTAAATTCAGCTATGTATTTGTAATATATTGCAGGAAAATTTCTAATACATTCAGTAATATTAAAAAAATATACTTCTAAATGAAATTTTATGCTAATCTTACATGTCTGAATTAGCAGTATAACTAGAAAATAAACCCCATCCTGGAGTCACTTAAAAATATTCAGGGATTATCAGGTATGAAAGCTAAATCAGGTATTTTTTCTTTGGCTTATTAGCTGTTCATCTGCAGTTTATGGTACTTGCTTTTAATGGTTTTAATGCCCTTTTTTAAAAAATCCTACTACTAGCACTTAACCTCCATCCTGTAAATTCTCTTAATTCTTCAAAGGCAGAGGAGAAGTCCTTTAAATGTAAGACAAGCATGGCACCTTTAAAAGCCAAGCTGCAGGAGAAATAATGGAATTTAGCAGGAGCTGCAGTTTCTAAATTATTGTGTGGTAAATCATAAAAAACCCCATGACACCTGCTCAATTCTTTCTTTGACTGCATCCACATAGCATACAAAATATTTAGTTCATGAGATGGCAACAATATCTCGTGATCTTTGTAGAAATACAGTCTAAACGTACATAGTTGGAAATAATTTACAGACTTTGGAAAATGGGCATTGCAGAATAACTATGTTATAGATTAAAAAATATAGTAAAAGTATCTGCGCAGATGCAGGCTTTTAGTTTAATCTCAAATCCCTCTCACTTTTCTATATGTTCCCGGAGTCCCAGGTCAGCTAACCAGGTCACCACCCAGGTCAGTGGTGATGCTACCTGTAATGCAACCTGTAAATTCAGGATGACTGTAAAGCTTTGATACACTCTAAAATTATTAAATTATCATAGTTATGAAATTATTACAATGGTTTTGTGGAGGCTGGTGTATATTTACCTTCTGCATGTGTAAGAATGTGTTTTTATTAACTCTCAGTCCTGTATACTTAGGCAAGGACGCTGAACTCTGACTGCATTCTTATCATGCTTTTTGTTCTTAATAGCCATGCTCCAGACCAAAATAAGCCCTCAGCTACACCCAAACACCTTTGCTCTCTGTGTTAGCTTTGCACACACCCTGGATGAACCTGCACTTGGGCAATTGCTTGCAATTTTCCTGAGGAGCCACAGGAGAAAGTTAATACCCAGCTTAACTTTGCCATTAAAAGCAAATGTGTGATTTAGGTGTGATTTAGAATGCTCTAGAAACAGAACAGTTGCTGAAATTTTTTGTCCTGTTATTTTACATGGTTGAATACAGGATAAATCCATACTTCTGGACAAATTTTGGCATTGCCATGATCAATTCTCACTTCTCTGCTTATGTAGTCATCATAACCAGTTCAACCAGTCCCTTGAGACATCCCTTTACATATGGAAGTGAGAGTCTGTTGGTGCATTTCCACATCATTTAGTTAAATAATGCTCTGGTCAGTCTCTGAACTCACCTACCATGCCTTTTACCTACCATGGCTGCTTTGCTCGCCCACAATGCCCAGGGCTGGATCTTGAAAACAAGATTCATCTGAAGATGAACTCAGACTACACCTTGGTTGTATTGTGCAAGCCAAGAACATAAAATGCAATGGCTAATTTCCATAGCCATCAGAGCAATTGCTTGCTTGCTGGTTAATTTTGCCAAAGTTTCTCTGATTGCTGGAGAGAAAAGATAATAAGTACATTTTATGCTTGGTGACCTGCTTGGTGAGATGAATTTGAAACTCAAACTTCCTTGTGCTGGAGATGAGAGCAGGGTGGAGTAGGGGATGAAGCAGCGCTGCAAATACTTGCTATCATTCCTTTCTGCAAAGAAAAGTGATGGTTGAAGAGGATAAACTGAACTTGATAGCTCATTAACACTTCCTAATATAGCAGTGTTTTAGAAAGCCTAGGGATGAATACAAGGGAAAACAAAAAACAAAAAAAACCCAAACAAAACAAAACAAAAAAAAAAAACAAAAAAAAAGGAAAACCTGGCTGATGCTTTGGATGTGAAGACTCATCAGCACATGCATCAGTCATTTGAAAAAGTCTGCTCAAGGCTCCAAATATTTAATGTCATGCTGCGGATATCACCCAGACTGGGGACAGCTGTGTCAGGACAGCCCAGGAGTTCAGGGCAGGTAACTTCATAACTCCTTGCAAAACATCATCATGTGGATATGCCCTGTGACTTGACCGCTGATGGTAACCAGTTTATCTGTGTTAGTGACTGCTCTAGGCATGTCTGCACATACTGCCCTGAAGGTAAATAGGAGAGCTGGAAGGATAAAGATAGGAAGAGGAGAGGAGAGCTGGAAGTAGCAGAAAATCCACTGGGGATTTTTAAAAAATGGATTTATGGTTTCAGTGACCTTTGTTGATGCTATGACAGAATATTTCCCACTGTGGTGTTGCTATTTGATCTGCCCACTTGTTGGGAGCATTTTTGTTTCCTGCAGGCCCCCAAAAGACTTAAGTCTTCATATTCCATTTGCACTTAATAGCCATTTATATCAACTGCCTTTGACATTTTTTCTTTTCATTTCCTTTACTTCTCACTTAGTTCTCCAGTGTTGCTGTTGAGTAAGAAATGACACAGACTCACCAGAAGGCTGGTTTGCACAGCATTGCAGCTTTACTTCGGATTCTCCTTTTTATACATTGTTCTAATACAGATAGACTTGACTGGTCAATTAATAAATATATTTCACCTGATTGGCTAATTAATAAAACACCTTTCTTATAAACAATCTTTGAGAAAAACAGGAAAACAGAGAGTAGGAAAACAACACCTGCAAGTTTTTTATAATAATAAACTATCATTATTAATCTTCAATTCCCTAAAGTCTCAAAAGCCGATTCTAGGAAAGCTTATCTAGTTTCCTCGCTCTCTGACCAGGCTGTCACATCCACACTCTAGAGCCACAGAACTCGTCTCCCTAAGGGTTAACAAAACATAGCACCTTGGTGTCTCAGGAAAAATCTAAATGGCAATTGCAGGGAAGCATTATAGAAAAACAACTCAGATTGTGTTATGTTCCTGTTTATGTTACTATTTTCAGTGGGGCAGAGCATTTCTAAAGACAAACTGCGAGTGTTGTGGGGGCAAGCAGAAAAAAACAAACCCCAAACAACATAGGAATATAAGTTTCCATATACTTCTGTATGTGCAAATATCAGGTTTTTGTAAACTGACAACTTCTGAAAAGTTCTTGTGGCTTTAAGACAAGTTGAATTGTCTGACTTCATGGCTTTAATGAGGAAGGAGGAAAGATACCTTCTCTCTGCTATAAAAGTCTTAAATCCTACTAGATTTCAGAGCTGAATGCAGTTTGCTGTGTTTTAACATGCCGTATCTGTTATTTTGATGAAAAGTTTTCTTTCCTCACTAGAGGCACAGTAATTGCTGCTTGGATGCCCTAGCATTTGTCCCAGCAGCCCTGCAGATATTGTAGGAAGAGATCAGCTTCCCCTTGGTGGGGACAAGCTATGCTTGGTACTTCCACATGCTTCTGGCAGGAAAGTAGCTTGTGGTTTGACAGAAAGGGCCTGTGGGCCTTGTGCTCTTCTCCAACACCAGGCACGTGTGATGGCAAGAGAGTGCAAAGAGATGTGCAGGTCTGGAAAGAGAGGTGAAACATGGGGATATTCATCTCAGAAAGTGGGTCCTTCATTTTTTTCCCCCATAAATAAGGCTTCTATATATATGACCACAGCATCAGAAGTCTGGCTCTCTGGCTGCTGCTCCTATCTTGTTAAGCTTTTCCCTGCTGCTCACTTTTCACAGCCTGTACAGAAACATCTGACTATGAAATCTGTGACTAACATCTTATTTTTTGGGTACACAGTGCCATCTAGCCCCTGACTAAATAAGTTAGAGAAGGATTTTCAGAGCTCCTGAAATGCTGTTCATTTTGCAGGAAAAGCTGCAGGAACAGTTTCTGTTCAGACCAACATTCAAGCCTTGCTGCAGTTTTCTCCTGTCCATTAGCCATCCACATCCCATCATCTGCTGGCTCGACTTCTACTTCTTGCAGGTTACCTGCAGAAAGCTAAAATTCCTTTATCTCTATAGCTGGCATGTCACTTCAGTTAGTGGCACACATTTGACCAAAACCAACCACTTCACCTGCTTGGATGCCGCTTCCTACCTGACTTTACATTCACCCCTTTTAATCCTCCTCCCAGGACTGTTACTGACCTACTCCAAAGGATAAACTGGCATGCTCTGGTGGCTGGCCAGACAGCAGTTGTAATAATCAAACAGCTTGAAGCCTGTTACATCTCTCAAAAAATATAGACCATGTCTTCTGAGCATGCAGCAGATAATCATCAGGGTGACAGCCTGTGGCCTTGTCATGGCATGGAGCTGAATAGGTGTGCTGGCAACTGAAGAAAGAAACCAGCAAAGGAAGGCAAAGGAGGGTCTTGCTACTTGTTGCCACCCCTCCTGTGCCTTCCTGCAGCTGCCCAGGAAAGCCTGCCAGTGAGCAGGGATGCTCCTACTATGACCAATACCTTGGGTGCCTTTCCCATGGCACTCTGCTTCTCTGCTGGAGTCCCTAAGAGGGAGAAGCTACCTTTCCCAGTGGAGGAGCCATGACTGTTGCAAAATCTGGGAGACCTGCCCTGCTAAGCACCTAAAGAAATTTTCATTACCGTGACACTGAACCTGGTGAGGATTTTTTATTCCTGGGCAGATGTCAGTGGACTTTTGTTACATTTTTCTTCCAGACATTTTCAGTGACAAAAACCCAAAACATTTAATGGAAACCGAACCTTGTCAAGTAAATGCTGTTTTGAATGAAGCTGGCTTGCTTGGAAACTATTTTGAATGACAAATTCTGCCTGAGAAAGTTTCCTTTCTGCCATTCTGTGATTAGGAATGTAGTTAGCATTAGTATCTGATAAAAATTATTAACTCCTGGATTAACTTTTATTGATGTGAACCAGGCAGTTCACACATATTGTCTAAATCAGGATATGTGAAAAAATCAGGCTGGCTCTAGCTACAAGCTAATCATGCTAGTGAGTGCTGGTGCTGATTAACAGCTCCCCTGAGGTGCCACTTCCTATGCTCCACCCAG